TGGAACATCCAGGTGCTCTTTTGCAAACTTCAAACGTGCAGCAATGTTTTTTCTGGACAGCAGTGGCTTCCTCCATGTTATGACCAACTTATGCAGAAATCCAGGTAATTCCAAAGGGTTCACATACTTTTTCTTGCAACTGTATGTGTATATATACAGTCTGATGATTGTGCATGCCCTTCATCTAAGAGTGTTTTCTTTTTTGTCTCTACAGTATCTTACTTTTGTTGTAACAATGTACATTTCCCCTCTGTGGGACCAAACTAAGGAATTATGATTCTGAATTGTCATATAACTGGCTTGTATTGTCTCATATTGTTTCAGAAAATGCGATGAGCTTCTTGGATTTAATATATCACCTGTTCCATCAGGACACTGTGTACATAGCAGAAGTACTAGACTGTCCCAGATTCCACTACAACGGTCTGATATTTAGTCTGAAAGGATCTGTCTTTTTCCATCAGCCTAGCGCAGTGCAGAGGCTCCACACTGCGGGAGGAGAGCGCAGATCTGCAGTGGCTCGTGCCTGAGATTTATAGGGCTTTGCTGCTCCGCTCCCAGCACTGTCCATGGAGGGAATACGTACAGCGGCAGCATTTTCCATCCTATAGAGCACCTCATGAAGGACAGAGTCTTTTCTGGTTGGGGGCCAATAGTTCGAGATATGAGGAGAGGAACCGTGCCTCAATGGCAATCTGAAAACATTTGTCTCATTAAGTTAAAACATGGAATGAATGCTTTGTCAGGTCTGTCCGCATGAAGCCAAGCAAAAAGCGTTTAAAAAACTTGTTATCCAAATGGACTTTGGATAAATCAGGGCCAGGCTAAGCTACTGTTGTAGCTGTGACTGTATTGGTCATGCCAAATAGTCATTTTGTAAACATGCCTTTATAATCATATTTAGGGTGGTCCCTACACAAGTATTAGGCGGAGCTCTGAGTGTTCCGTGAAGTCATGTGACCGTGATGTAGTTCCTTTATAACCAAACACTAACTTTCTGCTTATGCCATTGCATTACATATTAAAGTGGTGTTACTATGTCGAGATGATCCTGCTGAACAAAGCTTGTAAGAATGTTTGCTAAAGAGAGTCCTTGCTATGCTGACCTTCAGGTCGTCCTACATCAAAAAGACCACACTGCACCACTTAGAAGTCATCTTTCCTAAAATGTGAAATGATTCCTTTCCGTGCTATCCTTATCACTACACTGACAATTATTTTGAGTTATGAATTCAGAGGTCCCAACAGTCTAATAATACCCTGCTGAGTGAAAGTACTCCATTGGTACCTGGTGCTAACTGATCCACACATCACAGGTGTGTTTTATCCCCATTCTCTCCATTTCCTCATCAAAGGAAACTTCTGCAGACTTTATTGAAATATGAGTATAAATCTCACTGCTTTTAAAAGTGACATTTCAATCCAGGCTTATCTTTCCATACTCAGATGTATCTTTATTTCTTTGTTTATTTCACAAAGGCAAGGATACAGAGACATGCTTTGTCCTAGTGAGCAGAATGGTTGAGTATTACATTTTCCATCACAGAAACACAGAGTAAAATAAGATAGAAGAACTACAAAAACTGAAAAAGTAATCTCCCATGAGGATCGAGAGAGAGCAAGAACTCTGCAGGGGGCTGTAACTCTGCCACAAAATGTAAACAGACCGCCTGCTGACAGCAGAAGAAGAAGACGGTGAAAGGATGGATGGAGGGAGACACAAACATCTGCTCTCCGAAAAACAAACAGCCCCGGAGGCTTTGGAGCAATTGCAGAGTGATAGAGTAGAGGAGGGGGAATCAAGTCACTCTCTGGATCTAATCCCAGCACGAGGGTGAACAGATAAATCACGGCCTGAGTGAAGCAGTGAGATTGTTCCCTGTGCAGCACTTCTCTTCAAAAATACTGTCTACATTTCTCCACCTCACAACACAATAAGATAGCTGATAATGACCGGTGGCAGTCAGAGGAAAACTACAGCTGTAACCTTTGAATTAAACGCTGTTATTGAAGCATGACGTGAGCATTAGCATTTGTAGCTGCGAAATAGCTCCCTACATTGAGCAACAACAGCGGTGAGCGACAGCAACATAGTGACCACAGCTTATAGGACGACTTAAAAAAGCATCATCACTTCATTTTCAAAGTTGTTTTGATTTTATTACCACTAGGGGGCATCGGAACAAGCTGTGAACACAACATTGACACAATCATCTTCTCATAAAGACTACATGGAGAATGTGTTAGCAAGCAGCGACTTCTTTACACATTCAGCAGATGAACGTTAGCATGTATTTGGAGTCAGGTTTCTGGACACCTGATGAATGCTAGAACTATCTCGTCTACTTTTAGTTTAAAACATGCTAAAACTTAATTTAGCATTCAAAAGTTTGTTTTCTTGACCTTCTTGCTTGTGAATAAATGTTCATTGGAGTTCGGCAATTTTAACAATGTGCCATTATAACAAAACATGTGTATCATTAATAGGCCATAGCTCACGATGCTCTCTAAATATCAATATCAAACCATTTACAACTTTTAGACTTAATTTTAAAAAAAAAGGACAATCAAAGTGTTCGTACTGGGTTTCTTATTCCGCTGATTTACAGAGGACCTTTTCCCAAGGTAAGTTAATAGGAACAAGTCTATTTGGCCGAATGACATCACGGAATGACACAGAAGTTGCAGTACAATCATTTGGCCACTATTCAATATTTGCTTTAACTTCTGGCACTCTTCCTGGGAATAGCCCATATCAGTTGACCATTTTGCAACGCTAGCTTCCAAGACACAAATGCAGTCGCAGATTAAAAACGCAAGAGAAAGCATGCCAGAGTAGTATTTGTATTCGTAAATACGTCTCTTTCGACTCCACTTCGAGCGATAGAATTACTAACAAAGTACTGCTAACAAAGCACTTATAGGCTATACTAATAATGGACTGGCTTATCTAAAGCCAGTTGAGTAGCACTTGAAATGTTTTAGCTCTATGAAACCTGATGTACTTATATGATTCTGTTTTCTTCAAGTTTGTATCTTGTTGGTCGAACGCACTTATTGTAAGTCGCTTTGGATAAAAGCGTCAGCTAAATGCAATGTAATGACGAAAGGGTAATTCTGACGGTCGCGACACCAGACGTGTCAATACTTGACAAACCAAAGTCCCTACTGAGTATAACACCGAGTCGGCTGAAATCCCCTGTAAACCAGAAAACCTCACTCGACATAGGGAATTTTTCTCCTTCATCCTTATTATAGGGAAACGAGGTAACGAGATACGAAATGTTGCAGCAATACAGCTAATCTCCTGGAAAAGGGATAAAATC